GAGACCAACTGAAATCCAACGTGTTTGTGTCCTCAAACTAATAATCCTGGAGCCCAGAGGACTGCTGAACCTGACTTTTGTGGGTGTGCGTGTGGGTGTGCGAACACTCACGTATGGTGGGGTAGGGCGGGGTGGAGGTGTAGGAGGAGGAAGGTAAACCAGAAAAGAACAATCAAATCTGGTGGTTCAAAGTTATCAGAAGAATAATCAGGTGCAGAGCATTAGTGTTTCTTCTCTTCAGGAGTGGGAAAATATTCGCAGATGAGCTTCAGACCAGATAATGGCAGCTGCTCCTGGCCACTGGGCAGGGGGAAGAGGCCCTTTCCTATCACAGCATCTTCAATAACTTGACTTTGAGAGTGACACCCTGTCTGGCATCAGATAAGCCTATCAACACTTTTGATCAATGCAGCAACAAACACCACTGCCAAGGCAACCCATGGGCTCCTCTCTTCCATTAGTGCATCCTTCTGAATGGGATTCAGCGAGGATGTGCCTCAGACACTTGTACGCTCAGTGCAAAACCGAAAAAGCCCTGTACTGCACTTTAATCATGGTGACTATCTAAGTAAACACTAAACACAAAATATATATGTACTCAAAGGGAGATGACCAGATTAATTTTGATGCTATCTTACTGCCTAGTTTGTGCCTTAGAAGGATGTTGTTGTATCACTTGGACGTATCACAATGACAACTTTGCCTTGGGGTCTTATGAGCATTATGTGAGGAGGTCTGCATAAAGCACAAAGTAATAACACAATACATGTTAGCTGCATTATTACTGTCATTTAATCCTAGGTGAGTCTCAATAAAAACACCACACACATTGGCAAAACAGCAAAGACAAGTGGGCATGAGGAAGGACCAGAAAGAACACTGATGGTGTGTTGCTTATTTCAATAAATGCAAACAGTGGGATTCCTCTACTGGGCCAGCATCTTTCCAGCAATGGACTTGACTTATGTGATAGAGCCAAATATCCTCTCAAGTCTAAATCTGCAAAATAATGATGTTCATAAAAACAATTTAATATTAAAAAGTGATGGCAGCTTCATCAGCCTAATACAATTAAATTTTACATATAATGTCAACAATATACATACACTTCAGTAAAGTGAATATTTTCCCCCCAGAGACTTAGCCACAGTGAAGTCAGGAATTCATTAAATGGCAGAACAGAAAATATCTGGTGATGAAGAGGTTGTAGTAACAACCAGGTCAGTAGTGCTACTCTATGTTGCTGGAAGATAAATTACATCTGACGTTGACGTACCCCTTCAACAAGATGACTCGCTTCCAGGTTCTGATTAGGAAAAATGAGTTAGTGCACTAATTTCACTGAATCAAGTTGTATATTAAAAATCATAAGACAGAATTACTTGTCTAACTATTTTATACTGTGATGAAAAGTACAGATACCATGTATATATGGAATCTAAAATATGACACAAATGAACTTATCTATGAAACAGAAACAGACTCAGAGACATAGAGAACAGACTTGTGGTTGCCAAGAGGGAAGGGGAATGGGGGAGGAATGGAGTGGGAGTTTGGGATTAGCAGATGCAAACTACTATATGTAGAATGGATAAACAACAGGGTCCTACTGTATGGCACAGGGAACTATATTCAATATCCTGTGATAAACCATGGTGGAAAAGAATATGAAAAAGAATATATATGTATAACTGAGTCACTTTGCTGTACAGCAGAAATTAAATACAACATTGTAAATAAACTATCCTTCAAGAAAATAAATTTAAGAAAGGTTTAGATACTATATAAATTTTTTAACACACAGTTATACTTTAAGGGTGTTAATTTCAGCTTCAAGTGATGTCATTTAGAGCCATAATTTGTTGTATCTTATCATATTGTGACAAATGACCTGCCTAATTTGAAAATTCTAAGTTGTATAGCCTAAGAAAACACAGCAGGGGCTCTCTGATATTGCGTTCCACTGGACCAGCTTGATTCATGTATTAACTACTGCTCTGTGTCCCCTCTGTAAACCACAATGATAAATGCCCAATGGCACTAGCAGGCAATCTCTAGTGCCACACACGCTTTCTGCTCCCACCAGTTGGGATTCTGTGCTGACAAAGAATCGGCTGTGTCTTCCCAAACCTGTTTATGCCAGTTGACTTGTTATTGTAATTATGAAATTTAATTAAATATTATGAAAGCTGATGGAATATGAGTGCAAGAGATAAATCTTGTTTCTATTAAAAACTAAACTGAAGGCTTTGGAAAGACTTCATAAAAGCAATCACTAAAGGAAAGCTGTTGGATTAGATGTGGGCGAGACCTATAAAAAATGAGAAAAAATTCTGAAACCTCAGATTCCGTAAGATTCAGATTGCTTTGCTCGTGTCTATATTTTTGCTCTTATGGTTTATACTATTCACACAATGTAGAATTCAAAATAGTAGAATCACTGTCAAAGAAACGCCTTCGGCCTCTCACAAGAGTTTAGCAAATATATAGTTATTATTATAAATTTTAATGAAAATAAAATACTTTGAGTATGTATACTTCTGAAAGATTCCCTGCCTTAATGATTTTTTTTCAGTTAACTTGTTCCAATTATGTTAGCTAAGAGGGTATTTTCTATGGCTTAAATTAGAAACTACTTTCAATTAACTGCTCTTAAATTTATGAAGTGTTATGATCTAAGATGGATTACTCTGGAATATAATAGGTGTTCAAATTTTATTCCTTACTTTTGAAAGACAAAGTACGTTGAACAAAATTTTACCAGGTTTAAAGATAAAAATATACTCCTTCCCTTTAGTCTAATATAATAGAGATCAAGGCAAAGCAGTCAAGAACATGACTCTGGCCAGCTACCCCAAAGGTGAAATCCTGGCTCCAATATTACTAGCTTCGTGACAGCTTAACAGCTTAAAACCAGCCACTTACACCCCAGTTTTCTCATCTGGAAAATGCCATCGATAATGATACCTATACCCCAGTGGGCATGGAGAGGGTGAAATGAGAAAATGCATTTCATACCAAATGCTAAGTTCCTGGTACACAGTAAGTACTCAAAATGTTCATCATTAATGTGATCACATTGCCTAACAGGAAAAGAGCAACTACTACATAAATAAAGACTGTAAGTAACATGTTCTTTCTCTGTTGGAGTGTCAGTTCTTTAGCAAGATGGCCTCACCTATAGACAGCTCACAAACACCTGTGGAAAACTTCCCAAGGTACAGCAAAACAGGGCTTTTCAGCTAGGGGCAATTTTACTTCTTAGAGGACATATGGCAATGACTGGAGACTTTTTAGGTCATCAAAATTGGGGGCACCCATTGGCATCTGGGGTGTAGAGGGCAGGGATGCTGCTAAACATCTTATGTCCTACAACACATATGACACATCCCCCCAAACAAAGAATTATCTGGCCCCAAATGCCAAGATGGCAAGGTCGAGAACCCCTGTAGCCCAATGGGCAGAATGAGAAAGAAGTGATTTCTAAAATCTGAACTCCAGAAGGTTATGCTGAGAAAATAAAGATGGCTTACAAATGAATTTGGGATTTTCATTATCATATTGGTTTCAGGACCTATGCCACAGATGTTTAAGAGACATGGCTACTGAACACCAAGACAAGATTCTTTTGGTCAATAAACTCTCGTGAATGGGGATGACCATATAATAACCTTACAATAAATTTTATTTTAAACGGAGCACTGTCATGAAGCTAGAGTACCAGAATGAAATACTAGAAATGAAACTTCATTCGGAAGAATAAATCTCAAAAGGACTTCAGCAG